CCCCCCCATGTGAGTTTAAGCCACCAGGTCCAGGACTCGAACCGCGGTTGGCTACATGGGAGTCCAGCGACATAACCATTACGCTAACTGCTGGTCCCAAGAATGTGTTTTTTAATTCATGACAGCATATGTGTGTGAGAGAGAGGAAGCACCCTTAACAGGGTCGTGTCACACCCTGATCCTTCTTTCCCAGACCTCCATCTCATCAGGATCTTGGGCACGACCATACAACCCAACTTGGAGTTCTGAACCCATGGGCAGCCACGTGGCTTTCCGCACTGCAGTTCAGTTTGCTACTAAGTGTGCCACCAGGTTGAACTAGCATCTTACTTTTGATCTTGCCATTTGATTTCCAGAAACATTCCCTGCACAAATACTCTAAGATCTATTTATACACAGATGTTTAATGCAACAGTGTTTTATTTTAAAAAGAAAGGGGCGAGGGACAACCTGATGAGTCATTGGTAGGGATATAATTACATTGCAAGACATCCAAAATATTAAACAATCTATGTATTTCAAGAATGGATGCAGATGTGGAAGGAATTATAAAACATATTGTTAAATGAAAAAAGTTATTACAGAGCAATATGTACGATATGGCCCCATTAATGTAAAAAATATCACATCATTTCTTCTTAGAAGAAAGAGTCATGCTGTTGCTTTTTCCTTCCAAAATACACTATAAAAAGTAAAGGCCATGTGTTACTTATAATTCAACCATACAATAAAATAATTATTTTTAAAAATCATAAATACAACAGTTGTATAAAGTTAGAGTCTCTCAAACAGGTCACAAATCCATCTTAGAGCTATGTTCCAAACAAATGTGACTCAAACCCTGTGAGGCTTTATGATTTACTATTTGATAACAAGTGAACAAAACTGACCAATGAATAGTCTTACAATCATTTTTTCAAACACTAGTAGCAAAACAGTCTTACTTCAACTATGTGAAAATTTCACTGAAGTCAGTAAAAAGTTATGTAAAATCTGTATTTACATGTTTAAAATCATCACTGTATTTTTCTTGAAGTAATAATAATACATAGAAAAGCTCAAAGGATAAATTAAAAAGTAACCGAAGTTCCAATAAATCAAGAGATTTCATTATAAGCTGAAATAAAAGGGATACAAAACATTCTTGTTTACTTTTCTTTTCTGTACATTTTAGTGACTTGTCAAGTAGAAGGCGCATTCAGACAGACCCATGGTTCTCAAGTCTTTGTGTACACAAACACTGCAGGCTTGTAAAATGCAGATGCTTGGGCCCTGTTCCCAGAGTTTGGGCTCTCTTTACTGAATCTGGGAACCTGCATTTTATTTATTCACTTTTTTAGAGACAGGGTCTTGCTATGTTGCCCATGCTGGCCTTGAGCTCACAATCTTCCTACCTCAGCCTCCCCAGTCGCTGGGATTACAGGCATTTTTGTTATTGTTGTTATTTGTTTTTAGTCTTGCTAGAGGGTGTGTGTAGTCCCTGGAGATAGAGAGAGGGAAAGTAAGAAAGCACTCTCTCCATGGGGGATGGTTACACCGCAATCCCTTTTTCATTTCTCCTTTTGAGATTTTGGGCATGCTTACGCATGTACACGTACCTGGTGTGTTTTCAAGCTGCCAGGTCTGGGACTTGAATTGCATAGATGGCCATGTGGAATCCAGCCACCTTAGCCACCATGCTACCAGCTGGCCCAGGATAACAGGTGTTGTCAACAAGATCCACCAAGGTTTAGATGAAGTGAGACAAGAACCCCATTTGCTGGACTTCGGAATTCTGCTATCTAATCCAAACCCACTGCTGTTGAAACCTGCCTGTGGGCAGCTCATTTACCTCTTTATTCTCATCTGTAAAGCCAGTCAATTAGACTTACCATCTCTGAGGGCCCTCAAGCCCTAGCAAGGCTATGATGGCCCCCAGATGTGAAAGAAATGCCATTTCAGCTAAACACTTATTCTTTACATTAGGTCTTGCTTTTGCGGTCCTTGAGTCACTGTCTTTTTATCACCTTCTAAAAAGACAGCTTCTGTCAGTTCAGTTTCTGGGAGCAGTCTGAGAGGAGGAATTCTGAAACTGACATCTATGTTCCTTTGGGGGACTTTTCTCATGCAAAGAAGAAAGCCTCCAGCCATCCTGAGAGGCATGCATACATGCGGTGAGACCTGCTGGACTGGAAAATACCACCCATCCTGATAAACAGGTTCCAAGTCCTACTGCAAATTTCCATTTGAGCAGCTGAGAAACTCAATAGGAGGTCTTTACACTGGTTGAACTTGAAGAGTAAGAGCTGGATTTTCTGGAGAATTTCTTGGAGGTGAGGGAAACTTGCATTCGGTTTACAGTGCGGACGCTTCGGCAGAGGAGAGCGTTCTTTGCATGGTCCCTGAAATCCTGTGAGACAAAGTAATAGACAAAGGGGTCGATGCAGCTGTTGAGGGTGGAGAGGCAGAGGGCTACGATGTACAGTGGGTAGACGTAGCTCTCTTTCTGGCTTTTAATCAGGAAATAATGCACCACAAGCAGGAGGTTACTAGGAGTGAAGCAGACCAAGTACATGACCAGGACGGTGACAATGAGTTTGATGGCTCGCCGTCTTTTTTTCCCCGAGTTCTCATCCATAGCAGAAGATCGCAGCGTTCTGATCATCAACACGTAGGCAGAAGCTGTGAGGAAGGCTGGAAACAGAAAGACGCCAATGGCCAGGGAGAGGAAATAATTGAACATGTCCCCAACTAACAGCTCCTCAGGCAAAACGTCATGACAGGTCGTGATGTTCAGGTTTGAGATGTAGGTGGTTTGCTTCATGACATACAAAGGGATGGTAACCAGCAGAATCAGCAGCCAGATTCCCAGGGAGACACCGATGGCAATGTTTGCCTTCTTCTGGGGGTGCACCATGGGGTTCACGATAGCCCAATACCTCTGCACGCTGAGGCAGGTCATGAAAAGAATGGAACAGTACATGTTGCCATAGAAAAAGCCAATGAGCACCTTGCAGAGAGCTTCCCCGTACGTCCAGTTATTGCCGTGTATGTGATAGGCAATCTTCAAGGGGAACCAGATGACAGAGAGGAGGTCTGCCAAGGCCAGATTGGCCATGTAAATCACAGCGGGGTGCTTCTTCTTTGTTCGGAAAAAAAAGACCCACAGGGCCATGCCATTACTTGGCAAACCAACCGCAAATACAATTGTGTAGACAATTGGGAGAAAGACTGTAGTCAGCTTTCCAGTAAGAACGGACACAGAAAATTCATCCACTTTAAAGGCTGGTTCAATTGCAACTCCTTTTTCGGTGGTGTCTGGTGTATCATCAATCTTATCGCGTGCATCATCGTGTTTACCAATAAGACTTCTTCCTTTAGAGGGTCTACTGGTTCCTGGGCAAGAAAGACAGGGAAGGGTCATTGCAGAAATAAACGTTTCAGTAGTAAAGCTGGTCTGTTCAAATGAGAGTATTGTTTTTTTAAGCTGTTTTTTTTTGTTTTTTTTTTTTTTCCTTTCATGAGAACCAGATGAGAAAGAGAAAAGGAAGAGAGAGAGATAAATGCCATCGACATCATAATCCAACCGTACACCACAAGCCTTCCTGGTCAGGCGGAATCACAGGCGCATACACCTAGAGTGTACAGGTCCATGTGGGGATCAAACCTGCAACCTTTCATATGGATCTAATATCACGGGGCAACAGTTAACTGCTGCACCACTTAGCCGGCCCTGAAAAGTACTTCCAATGAAAACATAAAAATACTATTAGACTTTTTTTATTATTATTATTATTTTAAAGGTTGTTTTCATTGTTTATTTTTATTTCACTTATTTATTCATTTATTTATTTTAATTTGACCAGAGAGGGCCAGAGTGAGAGAGAGGAAAAGTGAGAAAGCAAGCCACAGGTCTAGGATTTGAACAGTAGTTAGCTATGTGGGAGTCCTGCACCCTTAGCCACTATGAACACCTGCCAGCCCCAAAATACTACTAGTTTTACACAAAGTGCTTATAGGGGATTTTTGGAGGGGTGATAGGCTTATTAGGATTATCTTACAAGATGTCTCATAAAACAGCAAGCCCAGGGTCAGCAGGTGGTGTGGTGGTTAGGGACTCTGGTCTCCCACATGGCTGGCCATGGTTCAAGTCCCAGACCTGGAGGCTTGCTTTCTCACTTTCCCTCTCTCTCTCTCTCTTACTCTGTCTCTCTCTGGTCAAATTTAAATAAATAAATAAATAAATAAAGTTAAATTAAAAAAATAATTCTTAACAACAACAACAAAAAAGACAGCAAGCCCTACCCTAGTACTAGTTTTCTAATTTCTTACTTTATAATGACTATCAATCTCACTCTGACCTCAGCGAGGATCTAGCCTGGCCAGTCAGTCTTACTCTACCCAAGAGCTTGGCATAGGGACATTCCCAGGATCATGAGGGAGATTCCCTCTCTACCAGAACAGTCTCGATAACAGGTAGGGATTCCCCTGTTTCCATAATGGCTTCCTGGAGACCTTCCCAAGGAGGCAGGCAAGCCTGTTGGCCTCCAGGCCCTGAATAGGTGAGTGTCCTGATGAGAAGTCTCTGTTCTGACGTTCAAGCAGGTAACATGACAAGCCTTCAAAGCTTACTCCCTAGCCCCCATATTATGAATTTAGTTATAAAAATTATAAACAAATAAGGGGCTGACAGGTGGCGTGGTGATTAAGGGCGCTGGACTCCCACATGGCCGACCACGGTTCGAATCCTGGACCTGGAGGCTTGCTTTCTCCCTTTCTCTTTCTCTCTCTCTCTCTCTGGTCAAATTAAAATAAATAAATAAAAGCTAAAAGAGAAAATAATTCTGAAAAGGTTTTTTAAAATTTATAAACAAATAAATGGCATATGGCATATCCACCCTACATCCTGCCACCAAGCGTTCATGGGCCCGCAGGAAAAAATGAGGAACAATTTGAGGATACTGAAGACTTTTACTTTCATTCTGGGGAACAGTAGCCTTTTCCAGGCAGAGAAGACAGGGCAACCTGCACCTCCGTGCCCCAGGGAGAACGTTAAACATTTCATGAGTTTAACTAATACTGTGTACACTTGGTTACCACTTTTTCTTTTATCTTGTATTCAGCAGGCTTATTCCCTTCTTAAGGCTTTCTTATTTAGGACTAACAAGTGGTTATCATGGGTCAAGTATTGGAGGGTTCAGGGACCAATATTTCACTTTGTATTTGGTGCAGTGGGTTGAAAGGTAGCCCTCCAACCACGTTCTCATTCCCAGAACAGTTCCAGAAAATGAGACCACCTTGACACTATTACCTCCTGCCTCTTTTCTAATTGTTTTGAATTGCTAGAGGGTATATGCATTTGTCAGAGAGAAAGAGAGACAGAGAGAGAGAAGAGGGAACAAAAGCATCCTTCAATGGGGTGTTGTCACACCACAATCCCTGCTATTTCATTTCTCCATCCTGTCAGGATTTTGGACAGGCAAGTACACGTGCCTAGTTTATGTTTCAAACTGCTAGGGCCAGGATTCAAGCTGTAGTTGGCCAAGTGGGATTAAGCTCCCTCAGCCACTACAGTATGGGGCCAGCCCATAAACACAAACTCTTTTTTTTTTTGAGAGGTTTTTGCTATGGAGAGTGTGCGCTCGCCAGAAAGAGACAGAAAGCAAGAAATCACTACTCAGGGAGGATGGCCATGCTGCAATCCCTTCTCCTCCATTCTCCTCTCTGGATCTTGGGCACGCACGCACACATGCCTGGCGGCGTGAGTTTAAGCCACCAGGTCCCGGACACCAGTGACATAGCCATTACACTAACTGCTGGTTCCCCACCCAAACTCTTAATGAGGGCTTGCTATATGCTTGGCATTGCTTTCAGCACTTTACACATATGAACTTATTTCACATTCACAACAACCTTATCAGGTATTAAACGTCTAGGTAGGCAAATCCATAGGTAGAAAGTATTAGGTTGCTGGAAAAGTCATAACACATTTTTACATAGAAAAAATATATATAATGACTTTTTCGACAACCTAACGATTAGTGGTTGCCAAAGGCTGGGATGACAGATGGGCGGGTTCTTCGGGGTGAAGGAAATGTTCTAAAATTAATTATGATAATGTTCACATAGTTTGTGATTATATTGTAAGTCACTGAATTATATACCCTAAATGGGTAAATTATATGTTATGCAAATTGAGTGATATAAAAATCTTAATAAGGCTTTTAAAAAAATAACAGGGAGGGGCCAATAGATGGCATGGTGGTAGAGGTGCTGGATTTCCATGAAGTTAGTTGAAAGCAGGTCAAGTCTCAGACCTGGAGGCTTGCTTTCTCACTCTCTCTCGGCTCTGTCTTCCTCTGGTGAATTTAAAAAATAATAATAAAGGGGCTGGCAGGTGGTGTAGTGGTTAAGGGCACTGGACTCCCACATGCCAAACACAGTTTGAAACCCAGACCTGGCAGCTTGCTCTCTCACTTTCCCTCGCTCTCAACTCTGTCCCTCTCTGGTCAAACTAAAAAATAAGTAAATAAGTGGATAAATAAATAAAGTTAAAATGAAATCATTCTTTAAAATTAAATTAAATTAAATTAAATTAAATAATTCTAGAAAATAAATAACGGGGACCAATGAGAAGTGCGTTGGGATATAGATGGAACGGGATTAGTCAAGAATTAATAGTTACTGGGAACCAGCAGTTAGCGTAATGGCTATGTCGCTGGACTCCCATGTAGTTGACCGCGGTTCGCATCCCGGACCCGGTGGCTTAAAACTCACGCCGGGCGCGTGTGCGTGTGTGCCCAAGATCCCGAGAGGAGAATGGAGGAGAAGGGATTGCGGCGTGACCATCCCCCCTGGGGGGTGATTTCTCACTTTCTGTCTCTATGTCTCTCTCTGTCTGGCGAGCGCACGCGCCCTATAGCGAAAAAACTTTTCCAAAAAAAAAAGAATTAATAGTTACTGAAATTAAGTGGTGGGTTCATAGGATTTACTATGATAGTTTATGTTTATTTTACAATTTTTTTTCATAAAAACAAGCACATGCTAAGTCTGGAAGTTTTATTTAAAGAGATCAATCTGTTTTAAATAAGAATTTTGGGGTCAATCAGTAGCATAGTGGTTATGGTGCTGGACTCCCACATGGTGAACTGCAGATCGAGTTCCAGACCCAGTTGCTTGAAAATCACTTCAGGTGCCTGAGGAAGCCTTAACCACCATGCCACCTGCTGGCCCTACTGGGCCATTTTTTTATCATAGTAAACCCAAAATGTTAATCCCATTATCTATGGAAAAAGGAGCAGTTCCTGCCACAGTGGCATGCACTAACACCCTGTGTTGCATAGTCTGGCTACGTGGGAGGCCTGGGTTTCATTCCCGATCAGACCTAAAGGACAGGCACAGTGGTGTGTACCTACAATCCCAGCAGTTCAGGAAGTTGAGACAGGAGGATCGTGAGCTTGATGCTAACCTGGATAACACAGCAAGACCCTGTCTATACACAGCTGAGCAAGGTGGCATGAGCCTGTAGCTCCAGCTGTGAGGCTGTGGCGAACGCAACACAGCAATGCCCTGGTTTTCAAAAAATAGTTTAAATTTATAGCATTTCTACATTGAATAATAGTGCCTGGTTTTTATACACTGACCACGAACAGATTAGGTAAAAATAAGTAAGTAAATTTTAGGACAGTTATATACAATATGTTCCTTCTATTGCTATTATTTGTGCATAAGGAAGTCTAATTTAGAGTGGAGAGGGGAAAGAACAGAAGGGCTTCACCTTTTGAGACCCTTCTGATTTATACAATTTTGGAAAGTAAGGTGTGCAAAATTTTATATTAAGCAGCACTACTTGTTAGGTATACTTCTCTCATGACCACTCTTCCACCAAATAAAAACCAAGCACAAAATGTGCTTCATAGTGACATTTCAGTCAAAGATGGACTGCATATATGATGGGGTCTCGTAAGATTTTAATGGAGCGGAAAATGTTATCTCACCTAGTGACGTCATAGCCACCCTCACATCACAGCACAAAGTATCATTCACATGTTCCTGATGACGCTGGTGTAAAGAAACCTACTGACTAGGGTCAGCAGATGGCGTAGCAGTTACATTGTTGGATTCCCACATGGCTGACCATGGCTTGAGTCCCAGACCTGATGGCTTGAAACTCACACCGGGCACGTGTGCATGCACGCCCAAGATTACAGGAGGAGAATGGAGAAGGGACTACGGTGTAGCCATCCCTCAGGAGAGTGATTTCTCACTTTCCCTCTCACCATCTCTGTTTCTTTCTCTCTCTCCAGCAAGTGCACATACCCTAAGGCAAAAATCTCTGCCAAAAAAAAAAGAAGAAGAAACCTACTGACTGGGAGCCAGCAGGTGGCATGGTGGTT